GTTGAACAGAAAATTGGTCAAGGGGATTACCTTCACTTGTCACTTTGATGCGCTGTAACTATGTGCTAATAATGGCGCCTCTCATTGATGATACCGACTACTATGCAGACAAAACGTCTGGGAATGTTCCAAATCAACGGTTCGATGCTAGAAATCATCATGAATGTTACATCAGAAGACTTTAGTCATAAGACTTCCTTGTCGCACCGAATCTGTTGCGAAAACGAGGTCAAAACAATATAATATTGATAATCATTATTTACTAGCGAGACAGTTGGAAAATATGGTGGCATTAGTGATTATTAAGATTCTAAAAAATTTGAATAAGATATAGAAAAAACTAACTTCAATTCACCATCGTACATCATAAGCAAGCAAAAATAGCAAATACTAAAACTAATTCGGATTTATGATAGCAGAGACGATATCTTTAATAACGACACCTATAAAGCGAATCTAAGTTAAAAGCAAGCAAACGATCCATAAAAAAATTAACAAAAAATTTCCTAGTGTACGAATTATTACCTATGAAATACGTGTTAAAAATGAATTATATATGTAGGCGAGAGGGCAAGAAATTATAGAAAATCTGCTCGATAAAGCATTGATTTCAAACATAGTGAAGTCGCAAACAAATGATAGTCTCGAAACTCTGTTTATATAAGAAAATGCAAACAAAGACTTCGTAAGTAAAACCTCTACTTATAGCATAGTATAAAAAAATTTAACTACTACCTTAAACAAAACAGGATGAATACACTTAATATATAAATTATATACTAATCGTTTCGAAAAACCTACTTATAAACGAAACATAAGTAATGTAGTAGATTGCTATATCAAATACAAATTTAGTTCATCTACAATCTCACACAGAATGTGATATGGGAAAATGTCTGGCTTTTCTCGAAATTCACATCTGCCTTGTGAATCAAGAGTACTCGTAAAATTTTACGCAATGGTTAATGTCTCGAGATCATACGCTATACTGCCATGGCGTGATGATAATGAATTTCACTTAGCCTTGTCTCTTAAAAGACATAATTCAAAATGGACTGCAGTTTCTATCTCATCTAGGTCGCAACAGCATCCCCATCGGGAATCGAAATTATATCCAGTATGCTGACGAGACCCAGACAAGGTAAACTGCAGTTCACTCTGGATGAGGTCCCTTTTGAGAGACAAGACTAAGTGAAATTCACTGGGAACGATAGATCTAATCATATTCTTATGAGAAAAATTAACTATCAGTCAATTATTTTATGCGACCTAGGGCGAATACAGTTCTTATTTAAGATAAGTAAGTAAGGATGAGAATATAAATAATAAATACCAGATAGAATGCTAATCAGAAGAGTATATAACATACATCTGGGCTAAGATTTGGCAGAGAGTATAGCATGGGCAAGGCCATCACCTCGAAAGACCAATATATCCAGTTGTGTTTCAGGGAGATGGAATCAATCAGATGGCGTAGATGAAGTAAAGTACCTGAAGTCATAAGAATATTTAGAAAATTTCACGAACAGTAAAGTAAAAATGAAGTAAAAATTATATGATGGAGGATGACAACCCTCAAATAATTTTAGCCTAGATGAAAGAATCTTCTGGGGACATGGCTAAGTTTAATTTAATGGAATTGTTAAAGCGAATCATATCAGTGGGAAAGAACTCGGCCATAATCCTTAAATCACCTAAAGCGACCTAAGGCGGCCAGGTTCTATTCACGAATTAGAGATCGACATGAAAAGTACTCATTCTGAACATGGCTGCAAAATCTGTTTTGGGGCCAGAATGATTACCGAATAACACTTGACGCTAAGACGACCCGATCAAATTTACACCTGATCCTGTCACAATGGATTCTGGTGTCTTAAGAAGAAAAAGCACTTTTTCGCGCTAAATCCTCTGTGCTTTCATAAATTCCCTATCCCTCCATTCGATGTAAAGTTAATCTGGAACCTGAAGTTTATATTGAGGTATGAATCCTGTGTGTTTAAATGAGAATCTTTAGTTGTTTTCTGCTTTTTGGCACGCTTCAAAAATAATAGAAAATAGATGTAGGGCAATTGTTCTGGAAATGCGATAAGTCATTTGATATCAAAAGATGTCATTGTATTAAAGACAAGATTATAAAAAATGACACCTTCAATCAGCTTTGGTTTCGAAAGAGATTAAGAAAGAAGGCTGATGATTACACTAGGAAAATATGTACCCAACCTCCTGGAAATGAGCTCCATCAAGACGAATAAATATAATCAATACTACGAAGTAGGGCATGTGAAAAAAGTAGACTGGCGTAGCTGATTTTTTACGAATTAATTATGAAATCTATCGAAAAAATTAAAATGCCATTACAGAAGGATTTTTCCCTTAATTTTACCAGCAGTTGGTCAAATTGAGAACTTATTAGTTCTGTCCGAGAAAAAGGTATACGGACACGAATTTTAAAGATAAGATAAACCATCTATTACATGAAATCAATTAGATGATATAGGCAATACAATTTAAAAAATCACAAAACTGTGTGGTAATTGTTCAAAAAGTGCTGCAAAGGAATTTCGCAATTTTTAATGTAAAGCATCAGAAGACTATTAGCCAATTCTGTCAATTCAGGATAAATGGTCTTATAATATAAGTTATGCTCTAAATTTGTTCGGTACGAAAATACCCCTTTATTTCAACTATGCACAACATACGTCACAGTAACGGTGTAAAAATTATCACAGAATCTGATTTTAAGAATAAATTAGTTTTTGTCTGTTTGTGATGAGGCACTGATAACTATCTTAATTAAAAAACAAGTCTATATATCACTTTACTATCTATCCAAAAGGTGACTTCAGATAAAATAGTTACGACATCATAAAGGTTTCCAAACAGAAAGATAAATAGAGTGAGCGAGTGCATCGTTCCTAAGTGTGTAGATTTCCCACGATGAGATGAATAGGCCCCAAGGTGCCAATGTAGTTCACTTACTTTTGTTTCCCAAATGTAATCTCATCCGGAATTGGCTGGAGTTTCAATTTTACCAGGATCTCATCAGTAAACCCAGCTAGAATCGTGAGGCTAAGTCATCTTATTGTGGTAAATTTCATTAGCATCTTGAAGGAGACCTGGCCTTCCCAAAAATGTATATTTGCCATGTATTTCAGAGACACTCTTGAAAATATGGTGTAGTGGTAACGTGTCGAAAGTATGCGGTGAATCAAATAGGTTCGATTCCCACTGGTATTGCTGATTGAACCTACGCGAAGTCGAAGCTGCAGTCTAGACCAGCCTGGATGAGAATACCTTTTAGAAACAATACTATGTGGAACTCAATGGATTTGTAAGGCCAGTTCAACTAATTCTGGGAAAATTCATTAGCCCCTTATAGGACTTAGGGTAAAGAGAACTCTTATTCAAGATTTATTGATAATCTCGAAAACCTACTTTATCTCAGGTTACTTTAAAAGTAGACGTGTCAATGTATAAATAGTAAAAAGAAGGATAATAAAAAGGTCTTGTTGAGCTGTACACACACAAAAAACAATATTTTATGAAACAAAATTGGGTTTCCAAAATATAATTTTTAAATGGCTAAGAATTAATAGTAAACAATTATGAATAAAAGTACAAAAAATGATAGAAAAAAAAATTGATTAAGTGTTGAGACTATCAGTAAGTATTGAATAGAACTTAGTCACCTTAATTCGTGAGGTAAAACAAGGATAGATACTTGGGTTTTTACAAAAATAGCAGTAGGCCTCCCGATGCCTCTGAATTTTTCTTTGATATTCCTCCCAAAGTTACAGTCATCCGGAGTAGACTGCATTTCTACCTCTCACCATCGCATCAGCACCCCCTATTAGATTCGACATCAGGTCAGAGTATTGCTATGTTAGTATACCGCTACACATCGGCATATGCCAGTGGGTCAAAAGCCCAGATGTTACATTAAGGGCAAGCCAGGTAGTTATATAAACGTGTTTGCCATTGTCATAGGCAAAGTTAGGTTTATTCGCCGGTGCAAGTAGATTTTGAGGCTACCAGTAATTCCTGAATAGCATATACACGTTTGCTTTATCGGCAATTCCACAATTATGTGGTTTGGAGGAGGCCTATCTTGTCTTAAATGTGAAATTTACCGTGATACACTGGCATCTGTGGCTTTCTCGCAGAGCGGTAACGTCGCCCCGATAGCCATGTTGATGTCGGATCCAATTTGGGGTAAGAAAAGGTAGAAAATGCAGTCAACATCAAGAGTTGAGAATGCTTTAGAAGACAGGGATAAGTCGAATTTAATGGAACCACGAAGTGTATCCATGGTATTTTGTGAAAGACTCAACTATTCATCCTCCAATCCCCTTAAATGGCCTAATAGGACAAAGTTCTTATTTTTAAATTAACCGATAAAAAACAGAGCAACAATAAACAAGTAAAATGCTTAATGATATTGCAAGACTTAATCAAAATAAGAATACCTCTAATAAAAAAGCACCCCATCTAACATGATAATGATGGCCTAAAGAATTTTTAAAAGTGAAAGGTAAAGTGAGGAGTAGAATGAAATCAAAATAAATATTAATGTGAGATTTACTGATTCCAAACCCTGTAATGAAGCGAGTTCTGTTAGGGTATGTTGAACGCAATCGTGTCTGGAAGCCAGCTATCATTACACTGTTGGAAACTTGTCCGTCAGAAACCACAGCATCTGAATTAGTTAGACCGATTTGCAATTTATCCTGGTCTTGTCCAACTTGGCAGTCAGTTGGTGTCCGTATAACGCGATCCATAGATATGGACATCAGGTTGCCTGCATCGCCTAATTTATCAGCTATCGAAAGGCAATCTGAAGTCCCGCATCTAGATTGAGGTATCGTTGTTATTGATGTTTTACTCGATACTCTGGTAGCTTTTACTTTGTCAGAATAGTCTGGTAAGTGTAATATATCGAGCAATGCTTCGGCAAATTCAGCGTGACACTTCTGTCGAGCGTACGGTTGTCCGGGCCAGAACAAGGTTCGAGAGAGCATAGATGAGGCTTTTGAGATACAGAGAGAGGATGGCTTATGGAGGGCAGAAGAGACTTGTAAACGACTATGATTTGTCTGAACGCCCCAGAGTTGTCGAGCAAACGCAATAAGCCTATCTGCAAGGTAAATAAATAGCCTATGTAATAAGGGAAAAATTCGCTTGATCGAGATAATTTTTATTAAGCTAGTGTCTGGAAACAATCAAGTCGAAACAAAAATTAAATTTAGGCTAGCTTTTAATAGAAAATCTGATGTGACGATACTGATTACCGCAGAATAAAAGGAAAACAAGGCCTTATAGTCAGTTAGCCTACAATGAAAAGTTTTAGTATTTGAGGAAAAACAGGGTTTCCAATAATTCTTTGGTGATTTATTGAACATGATCCATTTATCTATTTGGAAAGAAAAGTTGGTTGGTAGGAATTCGTGGTATGGTCTCACCGGTGAGCTGAGGAATCCTTCGCACAATCCAACACTTGTCACTGTACGCTAGTGCTCCTTAGGTTTCCGGTGAGACTATCTTATGAATTACTTCCAACTAACTTTTGCTTCAAAATGAAAATTCATGCCACATTTTTACGTTTTATTCGAATCACATTTTGCCCTTTTTCCTAATAGAATTTCTCATCCAGAAAAAACTCTATTATCGGCAACGTCTAGCACTCGCCAGTAGTCACAAACGTGACGCAAGGCTGCCTCATTAAGGCTAATAACTACTACGAATAAGAATTGGGACAAAAATGACAAGCCTTGAAAATTACGCGAACTTTGCGATCCACTGGAAGTCAGGAATAAGCTAGCCTTTTTACTACAATAACGGGCCTTGATTCCAGTTGAAAATGCTGATCAAAAGTAAGCGAAGCGTAGCTATCTCAAGAAAGAGCATCGGCAAAGCAAAATACACTCGTTTAGAAGCTAATCAATCTATCAGGCCTATGTCAATTAAAGTAACCCACTTCGGCTATCATTTTACCAGAAATTTGTTTCTAATGTTACTAAAAACAAATTAAAATGAACTTAACACAACAGTTCA